GCGCGCGCACCAACCACTGCGCCACCAGCGGCCCAAATTCTCATCTCTCAGCAAGAAATAACCTTCTAAGTATGGAACTTATGGTCTTGTGCTCGTAAAAGTAAGTACCTATATGTGTAATAAATCAGTCTACATTTAAATATTGTCATTTAAGATGGTGTAAACTTTTCTGATATTGGGATTGAGTTGGTTGTGGTTATGCTCAAATATTTATAATTTAAGTAACACATTTTAATATGTGAACTAGTTTGTAGAATAGTCACAAACTAGCTAAACGGCTATTTACTGAAAGCAAAACATCCAACAGTTGTGGAGACATTTTATACATAAAATAGGAAACCTATGGAGCTCCTACAAACCTAAAAAGTAATATATATATATATATATATTTATATTGTGAGGACAAGATAGTAACTAGTGCACACAACATAATAACTTGTGGAACAATATGATAATTTCTTTGCACAACATATCATGCGCATATTGTGCGCAAGATTTCTTCTTTTTTTTTTTTTTACTCTTTGGGACTTCAGGGGGCTGCGTAGAAGCCTTCAAAGTAGAATGAGATAAGTCACCCTGCTAGCATCCCTACAAATGATCACAGGAAGTAATATCACAATTGTACGGCGGAGGATTAGGGCCACGTAAAAAAAAAAAAAGGTGAAATTTCAAGATTAAAATCATAAATTTATGAGTATAATCTCGTAAATTAACGAGTTTGAGACCAGCCTGCGCGAAAATTATGAAAGTAGAACTCTCTACTCTCTCTACTCTCGACTTTAATCTTGTAAATTTACGACTTTAATCTCAAAATTATTATTATTATTATTATTTTTGTCTACATAAGAAAAAAAAAGGAAAATATCCTTGCAATTTTGAAATAAAAAAAGGCCAGTAAAGACTTTGGACTCAAACATATTGAGGAATAACATCCAATTTTAGGATCATACATGTACTGTGTTTTTAAGATCTCATTATTGGTAATGGTCTTCATGTTATGAGTGAGAGAAATGACTCTGACAGAAGAAGCAGCCCTTAACTCACCATGATGTTCTCCGGCTTGAGGTCTTGATGGACGATATCTTTGGAGTGGAGGTGAAGCATCCCTTCACACATGCCGATAATGATGGTCCCTTTAATAGATGGAGTCAGCTGTAAAGACAAACATTTAAGATCAAGTTTAGCCGGACGGGGATCATATTTTATCCTAAAAATATTCAGAACAACTTCCTTACACTGAGTCGCACGCCCTTTTTTCCTCAGACCTGAATCAAACTAGAGCACCTTGACTGGGGTTTCCCAGGCATGACGTGTAACCAGTGAGGCAGGTATTATGATGAGTCTGAGTCTTAGGTTTGGAGAGTATAGGAATGGAATTTTTATGCAAATGATTGCTTTGACAAGAACAAGAAGTCTATGATGACCTGCCTTTCATCGTAGCCATATTGTGCTAAATCAGGTGTTACTGTTTTAAAAACCATAAAAACCATAAAAACCAAGTGTGACATGTATTTGTATTTTAAGAACAAATATCCTTGCTTTCAGGATGAAATATGTGTGTCAGGATGGCATTACCTGTATTTTGGACTTTGATGCTTTGAAGATGGTGGTCTCCAAGTCTTCTCCGAAGATAAACTCAAGAGGAATAATCCATTTTCCGTCCATCAGATTTATGTTGCCCAGAAGTTTCACTATGTTGGGATGATCTGCCTTGCTGCAGATCAGTTGAGTTAAATAATGGGGAGGGAGAGAAAATGAAACATTATATTTGAAACACAAATATTTTAAAAAGACAATATCTGGCTTATCTGGTAAACATTGGGTAAACTTCAATATGGCACTTCTGCAACTTATTTAGAGCCAAGACCCCCCGTTAGATATTTCACAGCATGAGGAAGATTTTTGATCTGGCACTAGAGAAGAGGTGACCAGGATTATGTCTATTCATCATTTGGACCCTTTCAACGTATTCCTTTCTCCTTTAATAATTATTGATATTCAATATGTGGAAAGTTAGCCATTTAACGTGCGAGATTGTCACCGGTATGTGCTTCTGTTTACATATTGATTGTTAATTTTCACTGATATTGATGACAACATTATTGATATTTAGGATGGTGTTGATGCTAGTTAGGATTCTCATGAGAAGCTGTCGATGTTGATGAAGATATATATATATATATATATATTAACATCGCACAAAAAGTAAGGAAGTTTGTGTTTGGTAGATTATTTCTTTGTTGTAACAATGCTTCTTGGCACATACTTATATACATCCACAAACCATTAATATAACTACATTTGTATACACACCCTAACTCAGTGCAGTGTCAGGAAAACTGCACTTCCTTCAATGTCAGATTTAATTGCACTTACAAACAAGTTTGACAAAAGACAAGGTTGTTACATGTCCCTCAGCACATTCTTTGGGTGTGAGCCAGCAGTTATCTGTAGAGGAGCCATTATATTCTCTGTTATGTCTTTGATGGCTTCCCATAAAGGTTTTCTTATCTGCATTTCCACATCTTGTTTCTCTCTCTTTGCTGTGTATGTTAAAGCTCTGAAATGTTGTTTTGTTGTTGTGATTAAAGAACATTTGGGAGAAAACTGGTGTAAAGAAAACACAAGAACAAAGGATGTTCACACAGATGATTTTTTTCCCCGGCATTTTAGAAATTGAAACAGCTTAACTTGAAGAATTTTGAGAAAGAAGCCGAAAAAGTTTCATTTTTTTCCTTGTGTAAATGTATATGGACTTACTTGTACACATCACACTCTCTCTCCAGGTCCTTCCTGCTGATGAGCTGTTGGGGGACTTTCTTTATAGCAGCCCAGGTGTCATTGTACTTCTGCTTGTACACCTTCCCAAAGCAGCCCTGTGCCAGAGTGCTCGTCGAGTACGCCATCTAGGAGACAGCAGAGTGAGGATTGTGTCATTTTTATAATCATGCTATAAAGCGTAGAATTAGTCATGTTAATACAGAGGGGAAAGTAAAGATCAAAGTTTCTGCAGGTAAAGACCTTATGTTTAACACTGACAGCGATGTTTATTCCATCATTTATTCTTTGATTTGTGACCCTGTTGAGCGAATATCTGGTTCTTTCCCTACCTCTCCAATTTACCATTAGATGTTCTATATTTCACAAGTGGGATTCATGGGAATTTTCCTCTTTGTCATCTTGTATTAAAATGTTTGTGACCAATGTGCAAGAGGGATTCCAAACAGGAGCAATTACTTCAAAGTTGGTTATATAATAAATAGTGACTCATTAAACAGACAAAAGTCAATAAGAAACCTGTGACTGCCTGTAAAAAACAATGTAGATTCATAGAAGTACTTTACTGCAGTTTAAAGGTGATTACACCACATGGTACATTAAATATTGTTTTAAAAATGGTGTTCGCACATCCAACTATGTCGTGAAGTGTAACTGTAGCTCTGAAAAGAAGAAAATCCTGCACACGACTCTTGCTCTGCATCACAAATCTATTAGAAAAAACATATTCTGCACTTTATCTGCAAAACAGGTCAACCTTGTGAAAGAGATCTAAATGGCCTAATGTAATGCTTTCCCACAGTATCATTAAAATCATAAAGCCATCTGAAAAATGTACGACTGTCAAATGCTTCTGCACATATCTTTCATGCAGCTTCCTTTTCAGCATGAATGAACCTGTTGATGGCCAGTCAGAGCTAAAGAGCAAACAGATCCCATTGCACCCAGCGTTCTCATGAAGGGAGTGTCACCTCTGTTGAGTAATAAGATTTTCACAGAGATTCTGTGTAAAACCGAAAAAGGACACACCACAGCATGAAAATATGACCGACCTGTGTTTCAGGTTCACTTCTTTAGAATCCTTTTTAATCACCGAAACAAAATCAGATGTTCAGTGTGCGGGTGCGGACAGTTTGGTAAACCAGGATATCCTGGAACCTGAAGTAACCTCCAAAAACACTAAGATGCATAAATATAACAAACACTGCTCCCCCTCAGGGACCAGATAAGTGAACCGTAGCGGAGCTTGTTGTGTAAACAAAAGCTCCCATGCGCTGCTCTCAACCTGATGTGCTTCTGCTGGAAGAATTTGGTCTGAAAAGAATCTGCTGTCAGCATTCCGCAGCTACTTTTACTCGCACTTGGTGCTGCTGCGTGTTATCTAACCCAAGGACCGAAAAAGCTGACAAACTGGTAAGTCCACAAGAGGAGGAAAAAGAAAGCTTTTCTTTGCTTTGGCTTGAGTACAACGTTTGAAGCTGTTATTGTAAGTGCATAATGGAAAGCTCACACTTGTGTTTAATTTAGAGGTGCTAATACTGAACAGCAACCAGTCAGTCACCTTACAAGCCTTGATATTCACAAAAGACAGACTTAAGAAAAAGAAAAAGAGCAGAAAGCAAGTGAACAGCTTCATCAGTGCATTCATTCTGTAGAAATAAAGGCATTTTATTACTTTTTATTCAGTAGTCTTGTTGATCCAGTGTGAAGACGACAGGCTGACTATAAGTAATAAAGTGTAAAAACGTATATTATGTTATAATATTTGACTCTGATTCTTTGCTGTTTAACAGAAACATATGAAGGTGCCTACCTGTCTGCTGTAGAGGGAGAGATGCCGCGTCAGGTCTGAGCACGAGTTGACATAGTTGTTCCTCTTTATACCTGCTCCACGCCTCCTTCTTGTGTCTGATCCATGTCCTCCGGCGAAGCAGCACACCTGAGTGGAGAGCAGGAGTGAGTCACACTGATGAGTAAAAACATAATGCACTTTACAACCAATGAAAACAGAGATTGTGGGTCTGAAACGGTAAGACTGTGTGCATGAGGATGCATTGACTCAGCTGAGATGAGGGGTGGGAGGAGGGGGGGGGGGATTCCTGTTCTGATGACCGTGTGGAAAATACAGAAGCAGCACCTTTGATACACAGATGATTAGGTCTGTATGTTACAGCTATATCACTCACCTAAAAGGACCTTCTCTCTCGCAGCACCCTTACTCCGCCTGTGTCCTTGGATGTTATTTTCCAGGGTAAAATATTATTTTTCTGATGTTCTTGTATTTTTTATTTTTTTTGCTTGAACTATTTTCTCTTTTCCCCTTGAATTTATTCATATCAGCAATTTTTATTTTGTATATTCTAAGTTCCTTATTTAACTTCCTCATCTTGTATCTTTCTCAGCGGGGATTCGAGAGTCTGTCGGGGGAAAAAAACTCAACGGGGGGGGGGGGGGGGGGGCTCCAACCACCAGCATTCATCACCATCATGTCTGCAAGTGTCTCTACGCTTCCCTCCTTTTCCTCTTCCTTTTTTAGACGGAATTCCGTCTACAGAATTCCGTCTACAGGAATTCCGTCTACAGAATTCCTCTTCATTGTTCTTTGTTGACTTTCACTGACAAACTTTGGTTTTCATAGAAATAATGCATGCAACGCTGAGCAGGACAATGAGAGTGAGTGTTGTCAGGTGGGGCCCCATTAGGGAGGTTTCCTTCTGTTGTTGCACAATTTGCACATTTTGGGGCACTGCTTTGGTTTAAGTTTGTCAGCCCTCAGCGGCCCCCTACTGCCTGCCTTGCTTGTTGACATGCAGTGCCTCTGATCATTCTCCTGTCTCCTCCATTTTTTAAAGATGCTAAATAAATGTTTGTATTGCAAAAATACTCGCAACACTGTGGCTGCCAAAAATACAACTTATTTTTATTTACATTATTTTTTTTGATTATTTTAGACTGGTTTGTTGGAGTGATTTTAACATTTTCTTTTCTCTCTGTCATGATGTCGAGTGTGGAGCACTTTGCATTACCTTGTTGCTGAAATGTGCTTCATAAATAAACTTGCCTTAATAGGCTAAAAAAAACTTCACACAGGAAGTGGTTCGGGTGATCACACAGATGTTCACACCAGGAATAGATGTTGGTTTGCATTTACACTGTATACAGACTTTTGAATTTTTAACAAAAATAAATAAATAAATTACAACTCCCAAAGCTTTATTATGCATTAAGACAAATGATCTAAGAGATGTTTTGAGTTGACTGTTTACTAGTTGGGTTGTTTATTCACTGGCCTATAAATCCCTGATGGAGATGGCACAGTGCTGTAACACCACTCAGCTAACACTGAGTGTCACAACTCTACTGTACTATTGTGGCCAACATGAAGTAAAGCTCGATAAAGTGATTTACACTTATTGTCACACATGGTGACACATAAGGGATATATTGCATAAACAGCCTGACCCGCCGAACAGATAACCTATAAGTTATAAAACAATATGTGGTCGGGGGATGGTTGTGATGAAGCCCTGCGTGATGCTCACTCCTCAACCCTTGTTCCTGCTGCAGCTTCAAAGGGCACACGCACGTAGGCACGTACACAGGAACTCCATCAGTGCGAAGTGAAGTTTCTGCAGAGGATAACACATCAGGTATGTGGTCAAAGTTTGATCAGAACTGTTGTTAGTTTTTGGTTTAAAGCTGATGGATAAACTGAAAGGCTTCACCTTTTTTTTGTGGCAGGATGAAGACTATCGCTTTGTTTGAGCTCTTTAGTGGTTTAAGATGCGACTCCGATCTCGATCTCGATCTTTTAAATTACACCATTGAAACAAATCTAAAAAATGTTTTAGGTGGTATTTACATTAATTGAAATTTAGGGGTCAGGATTGGGGACAGCTATGTCTCAATAGAAAGTACCCTTTAAATGATGATTTTGTATGTATTTAGCTTATCACTATCTCATTTAATGCCCTGGGTTTAAATAGATCATAATATAATCTCAGTAAATATCCAGGTCTGACTACTTAATTGTTTTGTTAAACCTTTTTTGTTGTATTGGGACTGCACTTTGCTCCAGATACACACTTTGGTCTGAAGGACAGCACCTAAATGTCAGATGTGAGTGGACACTTCCTGGTTTCCATAACAACAGTGTGTTTCTGTGTAATCTGACTCATACAAGTTGTTTGTTTCGAAAAAAAAGAAAAAACACAAGAAGTGAAACCAAAACAAAAAATGCTATTCTGTTATGTTTGCATCTACATGGCTAAACTGTTTAATGTAACTTAATTTAACTTTAATTGATCAAGATTCATTAAAGACCATTGATTGCATTCAAACTCAACAAACACTGCCCCTTTGTTAGGCTGTGTATAAGGCAGTTTATTGTGTGCAAATACATGACCGCAGGAACTTTGAATCTGAATATTTCATTCATTTTCTTCCTCTACGTATCCATTTGTAATAACTACAAATGATGTGTTACTTTGTTTAACTTTCCAACCCTGGTTATGGCCCTCTCTTGCAGGATAATTTAAATCAATTGGTGAAATCAGGACCTTGGTACTTACCTCCCGACAGATTTGAGTTTGACAGTGGTTTGATGGTTGTTTATAACGGCAGGTATAAACCAGGCTCTCTGACTCTTTTACTTTACTGGTAACACTGGTTAAGAATCTGAATAGTAGTATCTTTCCACAGTTCTGTCATTAAAGGCATGGAAAGATCAAAATAAACTTTAAAAAAATAAATACAAAATTTGCACACCAAGAAAAACATGTTAAGATGAGCAGGTTGTTTGTCGAGCAGAGCGAGGGATGTTGGGAGAAAGAAAAGGAAAGCTTGAAGCGATTATATATCTGCTGGCTGTTTGACGGCTCCCTGATGGTGAGACTTCATACTCTGAGTAGAAATTATGGGGGGCCTTCATAGTCATTTGTGCCTGATTAACAACAATTCTTTAATTCAATCCTGATATTCTTTTGACATCATCAGGACCTATCGCATAAAAAAGAGGTATCTATTAGATCAAAACCAAATACTTCTACTTAAAGATATTTAACCAATGACTTCGTCTTTCATGAGCTGAACTAAAGGTTCAAAATAACTAAATAAAACACTATTCTGGGAACGCCGACAGCCTAGTGGATATGTTGCGCGCCCCATGTGCAGAGGCTGTAGTCCTCGTTGCAGCAGCTGTGGGTTCGAGTCCTACCATGTCCCTTTCTGCTGCATGTCAACCCTCACTCTCTGCTCCCAGCATTTCCTGTCTCTCTTCAGCTGTCCTATCAAATGAAGGCAAAAAAGCCCCAAACCCCACCCCCAGGAAAAAAACACTCATCTGCTGTTCTAAGATAATGTTTGTGTCAAACTGCAGCAGTCTGACTTGAGCGTACTTGTATACTTACAGTATTTAAACACTAGATGGAGATACTGTATAACGTGTGATCGGTTATTTCCTGATGTCTTCAGAGACATGCTCGCTACAACAACTGCTCCTCTTTGCTGAAGCCAATTCGGGCAAAAATAACCCTGCCAAAGGACACTTCTTAGCTTTCACTCCCGGAAAGTAAGTTTGTTAGTTTATATTCCTTAAGCTTCTTGTTTTAGACAGGCAGCAGGTGGGATAACGGAGAGTTGCATATTTCATTCATTCGGTACTCATTTCACTCCAACATGTTAGGGCTGAACTCTCGAAGCATTTGATCATGATCACGCATTTAGCAAAAGCTGAAACCATGTTGACTCAATTTGGGTGTCTGTAAATTCACAGGGAACAGATTGTCTGAGCCCATCAGTGCTTATGGCTTTTAGTAGTTTCACTATTTTTGTTTTACAATTGAAGGTAACCGGGTCATCACAGCCAGGAGAGCAGGTACTGTATTTAAATTCCTTTTTCTTTCTATCCATTCATCTTTTGGATGATTTTCATCTGAGAGTCATGTAATGCAGAGCTCAGTGGTGGCTGCATTCACATTAATGTAAGCTTGTTGTCGTATCCATTAGTTATTTTGTAGATATTAAATATGATGACTTGTTTCTATATATTTCTACAAAAGTGTCAACATGTATGTTACCAAACGTAGAAAAAAGGGCGGATTCTGTATTTCATTTCTGTTACAGAGAGGCTGGCCTCTCTCCACCATGCCGCACACATGCAATAAAAAGCACACTGATGGTGATCTGCAAGAAAAACACACGGCGTCACAGCGATTACTAAAGATGAACCAGATAACTCTGAGCACCATGGGATGGTAGGAAAGCTCTGCTTGAATTCGGATGCAAATGTCCCTAAACTGTCCTGTCCAACTCAAGTAAATGATACACCACGAGGCTCGGACGCGGAAGAGGTAGTGGCCTTGAAACCACATGTAGTGGAAGAAGGCCCGAAATGCTCCTTCTTGGAAAACAAAATGGATGACTTGAATGCTGCAGCAAAACCACAGGGTCCACTACGGGTTACTCTGAAACTAAGAAAAAGCCACCAACAGAGGAAAAGAGCTGCTGCTGCTGCTGCTGCAGGTAAGAACTGGACATGAAACTTGTTTACATTTTATTTTATATCTATGTCTTGAGGTAGAGAGAGACAGTGAGAGAGAGAGGACAGAGAGACTACCAGAGAGGACTGCTCCAGGATGGGTGGTGGAGGTTCAACGTCCAGAGCTGAGGGGGTCAGGGGGTGGAGAAGAGGGGAGAGAGTTCAGCTTCTTGACAGCTTGGTGGATAAAACTGTTCATTAGTCTGGTGGAGCTGGTTCGGACGTTCCGGTACTGTCTCCCAGATGGCAGGAGGTTAGGATTAGGGTTAATATGTCTCAGGTAATTCTATACAACAACGGTGCAATACGTTTTAATTAGACAAAAAACGATGAAGTTATTTTATGTCAAATGTGTCAGAATTGTGAAATTTTAATAATTTGTTTATTTACGAGGTCCTGGTAAAAGGTGGTGCTTTTTAGGACACTTCCATATACTGAGAGGAGTTTGTAATGTCTCGCCCTCTGTTTTTACATACATGGGGGAAGGATAATTAGATATACTTTAAAGCAGGGGTGCCCAACCTTTTTTAAACCAAGATCTACTTTTAAAGTTGCCAGTCTGCAGAGATCTACCAGTCCACATAGTGAGCTGTAGCCTTTACCGACAGCCTCCAAATGCATTTAATACTCACACAACAAACAGAAAATAATTTCAGATATAATAAATGAGAGTTCTGTAAAAAATTATTCAAATTTTTTAAACTCTTATTTTAGGGTAGGCTACATTTTAATATTACGTTTGTATTTATATCACATATGTTTTTCCCTTAATTTAGTTTACAACAAACAACTTTAATCTGTGTGGAGATGTTCACAGACTACAGCAGGCTGCTGTGAGATGATTTTGCTTTTGTTAAATTAGCTGCAGACACGGTGAGAGTGAACGGAGTAAAGTCCAACCGACTGTTTGACCGGGTCACGTGTGTTCACGCCTCGGTCCGTAAAGATCACGGATCAACTGTGTGCTGTAGCACTAAAAGTAAAAAAGTTCGCGTGGTGGCTGGCGCTCCAGTGCAAGTGTGTGTGTGTGTGTGTATGTGTGTGTGTGTGTGTATGTGTGTGCGTTTGCGCTGTATGTTGGTGTGTCTCGTGCCCCGCGATGCTCACAGTCATGACAGCAGAGAGGAGCAGAGAAAAGTAGCTGCAGCTTCATCAAATGCGCTTAATACTCGTAGCATAGTTTCTATATATGACTTTTTGGTAAAACATTTAGACCCCCGGTTTTACCTGCACGTCCTTGCGCATGCCTGCACTCTCTCTCTTGCGCGCGCTCTCTCTCTCTCGCTCCCCCGCTCGCTCTCTCGCTCGCTCTCTCATGCACGCAGCAATTTCATGAATAAATGAAAAATTAAATACAAACAGGTCGGAAGTATACTTGGGCTCCCCACACAGGTATCGTGTGTGGGAAACACTGCAATGAGATGAAATTGAAATCACTTTTCTATTTTACAATTGTATTTTATATTGACTAAACATCTCGCGATTGACTGAGAATCAGTCATCGATCTACCTGTCGATCGCGATCGACTGTTTGGGCACCCCTGCTTTAAAGGGGACATGTCATGAAAACAGTACAGTATATTTGGGTGAGCGGATTATCTCTGACCACAAAATGTGAAATAAACCCATCCAGTCCTTTGTTAGTGGTCTGCATAAGTCTTACAACACAGAGAAAAATTCTCCGTTCAAAATTTGCTCCCCTTGTGATGTCACAGTGGGATTCAAAAGATCATCCCCTCCCTTGGTATCCCTAATCAACGCTGACCCCAGCCTAGAACAAAACTTTTGCTCAGGTCTTTTGCACCATTTTATTCTTTCAGGGGGAGGATCCGATAGGATGATCACTACGGGGAAAACTCAGCACAGAAGCAGCTGGTGCTTGATTAATGTTATATATATTTTTTTAAAGATTCATTATGGGCTTTTTGTGCGGGAAAGGAGCCACAACTGGGATTCGAACTTTGGCCGCCCACTTGGAGGACCAAAGCCTCCATACATGGGGCACGTGCACTAACCAATGCGCCACCAGCGCCCCATGTTATATTTTGACCAAAACACGACACAGACACTTCATCCAGACCACGGGACTGTTTTAAAAGTGGAAAATGGACATGTTGTGTCCCCTTTAAATTTGAACAGGGGGAGATTTCACTAGGGGAAAGTGCAGAGAAAACACACACACAGCTCAGTGCAACTTACAATAACAAGCACAACACAATAACTTTAATAAATAAAGTGTCAAACATGAAAACACTACAGGCGGAATATTCTTATGACAACACAGTTTACCTCATAAATCTGTAGCACAGTGTATAATTCAGATTTTATTAACGCCCCTTTGTTATAATAAGCAGCAATATTTGCATAATCAAGAGTATGTTTGATTTTGTTTTATCTGAATTTTACAGGGTTCCTTCTTTGTTTGATGCTGTTACATGCTTCTGGCACTGAGGGCTCTGTTGGTATGTAGTTTTAAAAAAAAGTTGAAGTATTTCAGTGTGCATCGTTTTATTGTATTTTTGTCTTTATTTTGATGTATTCTTAAAAGGGAGCTTGAAGCTATATAAATACTGCCCTATTAACACTATATGACTAAACAATTGAAAGTAATTTTTTTTAACTACGTGATGTTTTTCTTGTTCTATCTGCCACATGCTCGACTAGACATGCTAGACTCGTTGATTCAGCCACACTGCGGCAATCCTATTCTGAGCAACTTTCCAGATACAGATTTAAGTTAGCACAGATGTATACCTGGAGCACCTTTGATGTTACCTGTTCATGTTTTTCTCTGTCCTGTCCACAGTTAGGCCTAAATGTTTTACCTGCAATGACATGGACAGATGCCAAAACTTGACCACCATCTACACCCCGGAAAACCATCTTTTGTTCGACAGGAATCTCAGCGAAACTTTCCCAGCATGCTCTGCTCTTCATAAATCAGGTGGCAACCATACTTGTGCTGTTTGTAATGACAAACCCGGAATCCTCATCTACTGCCCAGATTATATTGAAAACCTGGAGATCGAAGATGGAAAAGGACAGATTCCGAACGTCACCTCAGGCTGTACGTACAACACACATTCATTTAACATGATTTCCTTCTGTTTTGGGTCATTTCCTGGTCCAGATGTAATTGAATATATTTAATATTGTTGGTAGTTAGTGAAGTAGTTAATGTAGGGAGTTAGCCATTCCTTCTTTGTTAATCTTTTGGTTGGCTAACCCACTGCAGATTATAAACTGACAAGCAAGATTATAAGTGACAAGAAACATATAATAAATTAGGTCTAATAAAAGCATCCTATAGTAAGGCATACCTTCATAATAGTTACAATATTTAAACTATTTTATAAACATGTTGATTCAACTGGCAAAGTTATTTTGCAGAATGTAGTTAAATCAGGAGATACGTAGTTGAGAATGAACAATGACACATTTAACAATTTGGAAAATGAATGTGGGTATTAGTCTCCATCATGACGACTTCATGTACTCGGAGAGGCAATGAGGCCTACAGCAGATAGTGGAGTCTAGACACTGGTGCTGGTGTGCAGAGGAAGGAAGTGGTTAAATGAAGAGATGAGTGAATGCGAGAGAGAAGAAGCAGTCTTCCTGCTTAAGTTCATTAGGTGACCATCTTTTCTTATTCACATCTCTTTTCCACAAGTGTTTGATAACCGCATTTGGATAAACACACTAAACGTGTATATCTAAATCTATCGATGTCTACAGATCGGACTTAGATCTAATAAAGATATCAGCTGATTTATCGGTATCTGATTTTTTCTTTCCTCAATGTTGGTATCGGCCCTAAAAATACTACCAGGTTTCTAATGATACAAAGCTTAATGCAAATGGGTGAAGTATCCTTTTAAGGCTGTAATGTTTTTATTTTTTGTTTGCTGCTGCATCACGTGGCTATATTCTTAACATAAATACACCTTCATGTATTTACATTATTGTATTTTTTTATTTAAATGATGTCAATATGTTTGATCTGTTTTTAACTTCTATTTTTATTTTTATAAGTATATTCCGTCCCGTTTCTGGAGCTGCTGTAATGCACAAATTTCTGATCAATAAAGTTTATCTTTATCTCTTTATCTTTATGTTCAGGTGAAGAGAGGCAGACCACAGGACGTGGACATCATGGATTGATTGCAGGTATGTATTTCTCGCAAGCACTGAATGACATTTTACAAACAGTGAATGAACGAGTGAAAGGACTTGGTATCGGCCCTAAAAATCTCATATCGGTCAGGCTCTACTTCTCAGTTCTGTTAATGCTCATAGTGTAACTCAGTCTCTATCATCTCCTGTCCGCTGTGTCAGGTGTTGATCCTCTTCTATTCCTGCCACAGAGAGACAGTGGAACACGCTATTAACATAGTTTTTATTTGCCAAGAGGCGAGGCTTAGTGGTTTGGAAATGTGTATCCGCACCATGAAAACTAAAACGTTAGTTACTGTAGCTAGCCAGCCACCATTAGCCAGTGCGGGACAGTTTGTCTACACAAGGCTGCACCAGGAACCCCGGGTGAGTCCGGCTCAACACGGGGAAAGCTGCAGCCAGGTGTACTGACTGGGGCACCCACAAATGCCACTTGACCTAATTTATTTACCCACAATTTTGGACCCTGAGTACACCGATAGGGCTGAAATCACGACTAATAACGATTCAGCATTCGCAATTAACACATCGCGACAGTCTGAACTATACACCATTTGATGGAGTCAGATGAAGCTAAAGGTAGCTATCAGCTACTCTAAGATTAATCAGTGCAATTTAGTGGAGAACATTTTTTATTTTATTTAGAAGGGGCATGTGGCAAACACAGATGTTATGCAAAACATGAAGACAGCAGATAGACGAAACAGAACTGGGAGTTAAAGCTCTCTTTATTTATTGCAGTTCACATCATTATCACGTTTTTGCACAATGTTATCGCACATGGCATATTTTTCTCAGATCGTGCAGGCCTAACTGATACCTGTGATTGCATGTCAGTTTACTAAAGTAGTCTTTAAATTGTTTATAATACTTCCATCATAATCAAAACTTAATACCAGGCACAATCTTATGTGAAGTAGATTCTTTCTATTCAACATTTAAGACATGAAAGGGACACTTCACCCGTTGAAACATGAATCTGTATTAACATTGGGTCGAAGTTTGAAGTTGGTGCCTTCTTAACCGTAAGGCAGAAAGTGTATTTTTGGCTCATGTGGATGAAAGACAACAACTCCAGAATGCACAGCACCACAGGCCACTCCCACTGAAGCTTGGTGCTTTATTTACAGACATTTACTACACACAATACAGCGTTTCCTCAACTGATTCCAAGATTTGTTCCAGAAGGAATTGGCATCTTGGAAATTCCGGGCAGCAGGACTCTAAAACCTGATTCATGCTTCTTGTGGCGGCGCGCACAGGTGTCAAAAGTATTCACATTCATTACTCAGGTAGATACTGGGTTTAAAAAAGACTTCAGTAGAAGTTGAAGTATCAACTCAAGCTTTTTACTCAAGTAAAAGTGTAAAAGTACGGGTTTCAAAACTACTTAAAGTATAAAAGTAAAAGTAATGTAAGGGGAGAAAAAAGCCATTAAGGCAAAAGCTTAGGCCGCGCCACAGGGCCTATAGTGCTCTACCCCACATCCCAAAAAAACATTTTTCTAAAGGCCATAATGACTACAATGTTATATTAAAATGTTAATGTTGAGAAATTTGGGATGCACCTGTTTCAGCCGCCTTTTTGCCCATTGAAAATGAATGCATTTTCATACAATGCAAATACATTAAAGGACCATATATGTGTACTACTGAGCATTAACATGTGTGTCATGGAGCGGAAGACATGATGACTGTAGCTCTGCACGGACATCTTCGTACTAGGCTACATACGTCTGTACAAAACAATAGGGTGTCGGAATGGTATATGTTTACACTTCTCATCCAACCACAATCAAATTCACT